AATAATTTGATTTATACCCCACCTATCTGGGCGACTCGTCCACTCTAGGTGGCTTTCTAGGTTAGAAAGATTGTTGACCGTTCATGACAGTAAATGTTCCGTCTACTCAGCCAGTGGATTTAACCCTTGAAAACAACTCACAGAGGTAGCAAATACATTTAACTGTGACCAAACCAGCCAGGTTGGATCTGCAATGAATCCTGGTATGGTAGCAATCCTGAGAATTGATTATTCAAGATTATGAAATACTGTTGGTTTGAAACAGTTCATCTGGCAAAGGACTGATTACAGTGCAGACAAAGAAACTTGAATCTCATAACCTCTATTGGTTAGTCTTCAATGCTACTACTCTGTTTCCCTGAAAATAAGACCTAAACTGAAAATTAGCCCTAGTATGATTTTTCAGGATGCTCTTAATATAAGCCCTATCGCCAAAATAAGCCCCAGTTCAGTGAAACCCAGCCCTCCACCATTGTGCCACAACCAGAAGATGACATGACTATATTTGAATAAATGTAGATTGTTGTACATGATAAAAATAAAACATCCCCTGAATATAAGCCCTAATGTGTTTTTGGAGCAAAAATTAATATAAGACCCTGTCTAATTTTGGGGGAAACACAGTAGATGTAAAACATGTTTTCCCCATGCCCCAAACTGGAACCCCATTGCTGGTTCCTTTGCCAACTTACCACAAAGATGTTACTAATGGCATCCAGAATCACTAAGACAATTTTGCCATCTTTAACAGTTAGAAGATTTAGCAATGGTTCTAGCACACCAGCCTGAACAAGGTATATGATCTGGCCAATTGTTCCACCACTCGTGAAGTTGGTCACAGCCCATACAGCTTCCTTCTGAGATTTGAAATCCCCCTGTTTTAAAAACACACAATAATTATTAGGGAGATAGCTGCGACATAATTTGGAAACACAAAAGTGCAAAGACACAAATCTACTGCAGAAAATAAAATTCTGCAAAATGCTTATGAATATCAATAGAACAATTCATAGTGATGAATTAGAATTTCTGCTGAGCCCATCAAGTGCTTTCTAATAATCGAATATTTAATAAATTTGCTTTATGTGGGAAAAACTACAATGGTAAGCAGTGGCCTTTCCTGAATACTATTTCTATGACAAAAGATTATTTCTATTTTGAATTAACAAGACTTCATTTCTATCAACTTCCTTTTTTTGTAATCAATTTACTTTAAAAAATCCACAAGATACACAAATACTTTTCTTCTTTCAAAGAATACTGATCCAAAAGAGCATTTCTTCCTAACAGAATGCTGAAAGAGACATTTTCATCTTTTTTCCTTTCCTTGTATACTGCTTTGGAGGACTCTCCAACAACACTGGGAGTATCAGTACTGAGGGCTGAAGAAGGTGGGAGAAATTGCTAACAAGGCCCTTTCTCCTACTTTCTTTCCACTGGCAAAAATGTTGTGGCTGTGAACAGAAGGCCCCTCAGAATGGTTCCAGTGGCAAAATAAAACACAGGATCCAATTTAATACACATTTTCTCTGAAATGTATAAAGTGATTATGAAAGCTGATTAATTTCATATTTCAAATGAGTAAAAACCAAGCCAGAACAAACAAATGTTACATCTGATTATCGTACTCCCCATCAAATGGAAAGCAGCCATGGCTTTAAAATATTTGGATGTCTATATACTTAAGGGAACTGAAACAAATCTTTAAGGCACAGCATGAATTTGTGAATACAGTAAATTTAAGGTGTAAATTTTATTGCATTGAGAAGAATTTCACCTACACTTCATTTCTTGAATCTTTACTGTATCATCACTCAAAAACCTACAAAGCTACAGAAAACACGACCAGCATACAGCTTTCTTTCATTTTAATATCAAAGATCCATCAGAAGAATCAACAGCACCAAGAGGACAGAGAAGTACCAGATTATTGGGGGTGGGTAGGTAACTGTATTTGTTTCTTACCTTTTTCAAAATTGCAATAAGATATGGGATAAGCCCATGCTCCACTACTTTCTGAATCTGGTCCTGCCGGCCAGCAGTGATGTTGGACATGGTCCATGCAGCTTCTTTCTGGATGTTGTTTTTATGGTGAGTAAGCAGGCTGGGAAAGACAGTGAGTGCTCCAGAATCTATTACAACCTGCGTCTGTTCATCAGTCCCTGTTACAATGTTTCCAATGGCTCTTAATGAAGGAGTCTAGGAAAAAAAAGTTTTGGCTGTTTAAGAAGAGAACAAGTCACATGGATATCTTTAACTCATTGCAGCAATAGTTAACAAAGTGAGCCCTTGCAGCATCTTCACAGCAAGTCCACAATCATGGGTAGACAAGTACTGCATGACATACTCAGCAGCACAAATGGCATTAGTACTCACAACAAGACTGCCACCGCTGGATTAATTCACTTTTTTCCCCACATGGCCATTTGTAGACAGCAAGCCAATCACTCAAGGACCAAACTCCCTTCCCTACTGCAACCACTTTGCTTGTAGCAGCAGTGGAGCAACATATTGCTGACAGCGTAAGAGGGTCTTAGACCCACAGTGAAAAACTCTAGAGACTGACTTCTACAGTTTCTCCGAAAATAAGACCTAAACTGAAAAATAAGCCATAGTATGATGTTTCAGGATGCTCATAATATAAGCCCTATCCCAAAAATAAGGCCCAGTTAAGTGAAACCCCGCCTTCCACCATTGTGCAGCAACCAGAAGAAGATGACATGACTGTATTTGAATAAATGTAGATGGTTGTACATAAAAAAAGGAAACATTCCCTGAAAATAAGCACTAATGCTTTTTGGAGCAAAAATTAATATAAGGCCCCGTCTTATTTTTGAGGAAACTGTCTCTCTCTCTGTCTCTCTGTCTCTGTCTCTCTCTGTCTCTCTCTGTCTCTCACTCTGTATCTATTCATTTTCTCTACTGTTTCTTGAGGCAATCAGCCTCCAATTATTATTATTATTATTATTATTATTATTATTATTATTATTAAGGGACCACTATACTGTCAACATGACTGGTTTGCCTCAAGGAAAAAATTAAAAGGATTGTTTCAGCCACAAGTATCAGAATGGGACAGTCTGCTTTCCCCCTGAGCATTTAGTTTCTTTTTGAAACATGCACAATGGAGTTGTGCTTCAGTGAGGCTACATGGGAAAGGCCACAATGGGTAGAACACATTTTTATGTACTCAATTTCCAGCAGAGAAGCACCAGATAGCAGCTAAAAGGAAATACTTTTACCAAGGCCTTGGAAAGCAGCTACCAGTCGTAACAAAATATAAATACTTTGAATTCACCCATTTTATAAGCTGAGCAAATCCTGTGGTATTTGACCATGTAGGTGAAGTCTTTGCGCATGCCTTATATAAAGGGAAAACCCTATATGGTCACATACCAGAGGATTTGTTCTGCTTCTAAAATGGGTAAATTCCAAGTATTTTTTACTAGCCACATGATGCAAAAGCTAATTCAAATCATTTCAGCCCCTTTTTGCTTCCAAAGTGATTTTCTCTGCTGCTAGGGGGGTTACACTATTTCAAGCTGGAACTATTCAAACAGGCTTTCCCCCCTCTGGTTAGTTGAAATACATTCTTATAAAGCCAGGCATATGTGCAGGTGGTATTTTGGTGACATAGGCAGTTGGAGCCAGAGAGTACTTGCCCCCACATTCCTTCTTTCCCACCCAATCGTTGTCCAAATTCTTTTTTTTAATCCTTTCATATATGAAATTAGTGCTAGATCACTCTATCGCTCTATGACTGGATCATCATTATTATTTCCCATATTTATGGCCCCATCAGCTCTCCATTACATCAGCAGAGGCAGGACCAAAGGAAGGAAGAATGGTGCACTTTGGGCTGGAATGCAGATCACATTGCAACCAGTATGAATAGTAAAGCCCTGAATCATTCTTCAGCCCATTTGTGAGCACTGTCTGCAATTTCAAATGTAATGCAGGCTTCAAATTGAATTCAATGTAGTTGCACTGCATTCCTATGAATAGTGGCAAGAGTAAAATGCATCAAAACTTAACATTCTTGCTTCTCAGGAACCTGCTACTTGTATATTCCAGATGAACTTGAAACAGCTTATATGAAGGATTATTTTAATACTGAACAATGTCTACTGATATCTTACCATTATGGGAATTTCTCCACACCCCAGAAGCTTCACTAGTTGTGGTACCAGGCCAGTTTTTACTACCGTTTCAATTCTGTCATTTGAACCATCTGTCAAATAAGAAATAGCCCAGCAGGTGTCTGCCAAAACCTCATGGTCATGGTGGTGCAACAGGCGAACTAAAGTAGGAAGGATCTGCTCAACAGCTTCTATAGGTGGTGCAGGGTTCTTATTACGACAGAGGTTAGACAAGGTCCAGGTTATATTGCGTAAGTAGCCAACCTGCAATCAAATGAGGAAATTGAATTAGTAATGCTGCTGCTGATGAAACAGCATTCTTCTAGCCCCAGAATTATTACAGCAATGGCCACACACTTACAGCTAGGGAAGAAAGATCAGGAACAGCAAGCAGAGCCAAAAGTGGGTCAAGTGCACCATATTTAATAACTAAGTCCCGGTAAGCAGAACCATCACCTAAGGGGAGAAGAAGTTAAGACTATCAAATAAAAATGACAAAATGCATACCAAATAAATTCTATTTTAAAGAGGAATGCCACAGGAAAACCATTTGGCACAATGTAAGCATTACAAGCAACTGCAACTGCCCATGAGAATCACCAGGTGCCAGAAGCAGGAAACAAGTTTCCAACTACTTTATTCAAACAGCTTGTGTTACAATGGAGGTTAACACTAAAACTAGCCACTGGTACCCCTCAGCCTAATATGCGGTAATCAGTAGAAATTTTGCAGTAAGCATCCTAACTGGAGTGTCAAAATTGACAACATGCTTTTAAATTCTAGCCCAAAGTCTCTGCACCATATATAGTATCTCTGGCGCATCCTTCCTGGCCTTCAAAGACATCACTTCTTGCCACCCTAATTCTTGTCAATGAGTTCAGATTCCATATGCTTATAGAATGATTTGATTAAGAAACTCTATAATACTAATCATATTGTATTCAGATCTCAATGCCAAGGCTCAAAGCTGAGTATGCTTCTCACACTGAGAGAATTAAGAACGGAGGTACATTCTCAAAATAAGTTTTACTGGCAAATGGGTATTATATTTTGAAATAAACCCTTCCATTTTTGTACATAATATGTATTTCTTGAAAGAATGATGCAAACAATTCCAGTATCAAACCAAAACTAACAAGACAAGAACACTGTAGCACTTAAAGACTAACTACTGTCTTTAAGGAGCCACAACATTATTTTCTATTTGCTTTGGCCTTATATGCTAGTTCAGACTAACATGGCAACTTCTTAAAAAAAACCAACAAACTCCTCCAATGTATACAGTACTTCAGCTGCATTTCTATACCATACCTGCAATATTTCCTAAAGCCCACACAGCTTGCTCACTGATGTGAGTATGGGGTGAAGCCAACAGACAAATAAAGGCAGGAATTGCTCCTCCATCCACTACGGCTTTTGTCTGGTCTGATGTGCCAGAGGCAATGTTGGTCAGTGCCCAAGCAGCTTCAAACTGAATAGGGCTGCAATCTGCTCTTCCCAAGAATGACACCAATTTTGAGATCAAGCCAGCCCGGATTATCTGGTCTATAGGGGGCTGCTTTTCTCTGGAAAGTAGTCTCCTATAAAAAAGAGCAAACAAGTTGGCTTTCTCTCTTATCATTCTACAGACACATTCACTACATTGAGTGTACCATTCAATTTAATTGATTACCCCTAATTCTCTGCCATGCATCAACTTTGAGTAATGCTGTATTGTATCTACTAGTGGTGCCTAATTACCAGTCTAGAGTTCTTTGGGAAACTAAAACCCTTTTACTTCCCAACTCCTGCCCATGGGACTTAACACTTCCTACTTTAATGGCAATGCTCAAAGAGGATGTTAAAGGATGAGATTTTCACATATAACTGGAAGGTCTAGCATTCTGAAGCATTCTGAAGCAGTCACTTGTGACTGTGTGCACAGTTGTCGTGAGTGTGGCCTCCCAGCTTCTAAATTCTGCCATAACACATTAGGGGTTATAGTTACTTTAAGGCTTTATTATGCACATTAAGCTTTTGTGAGAAACAATTAGTTGAAATCTGAATAACCATGCTCCAATACATGTTCAGGCTTGTGCGATCAATGAGCTAATAGTTACGTCCCATATCCAGTTATGTACTCAACTAATCAATGTTCAGGATAAACCACATCAGATAATTTGATATTTAGATAAGAATACTGTTTGACACCCCAGGTAGATTATTTTCTTCAGCATTGAGAGCGTCAGTAGAATTTCTAGCAATCAACTAATCCATTAACACTTCAAATCATATTTGAACCTTGAGATCATATTTAGTGTCTTGTTCTTATCCTTGGTCACTGGTTCACCATATGAACATTTCATGAAAACTAACTGTATACAGTTAGTTACCTGGCAGCCTGTGTAGCTTGCAGCTGTAATTCCAAATTATTGCTGTTGATGCCTTTAACAATGTCTTCAACAGACCAATGGACAGTGACCTGAAGAGGAGAAAAATAAAACAAGGTTTCAAAAATTAAGCATAGAGCAATGTAATGTAGGTATTGAATATATGGTCATTTGATCTCTGACAGCCTTTAGTAGGAGCCACTACTGTTTCAGAATTGCTTCCCAATATCCAGATGCTTTCCAGGATGTAAAATTTGGCCTTAAAATAGTCCCATGCTCAACTCTTAGGCAAGGCCTTAACTTTTTGATACTCAAACTATGCATCTCTTTTTGCTAAGTAAGTAGAGAAGTATAGCTTAGTAGTAAAGCACATGCTTTCAACGCACAGGAAATTCACAGTTTATTTCCTGATATCTTCAACCAGGGCTGGGGAAAAATCGTGGCTGAAGCCTTGACTCTGCTATAATGCAAGGCTATCAGAATGTTGCCACAGTGTTCCAAGTATGTAGGATGGATTGTTTATTAAAAAGATAGATAAGATGTAGCAAGACTTGGCAACCTCATACAGTGTCCTGTCCCAAACTGAGAAATAAGAAAAATATTCCTTGATACTTACTTAGTAGTCTGAATGACTGAACTCGTTACACAAAACCAGGAAATACTGAAGTTATTTTTATTAAACATTTATCAGTAACTATGTTGCCTCCTTATTACAAAAATATAGAACAATGACATTACAGTGATGCCTCGCAAGATGATTACCTCGCAGAACGATTAATCCACAAGATTATTATTATTATTTATTGTATTTATACCCCACCTATCTAATCATTTCGACCACTCTAGATGATGGGTTTTTTCGCTAGACAATGTTTGAGTCCGTGTTTCGCAAGATGGTTTTTTTTTTAAGACCGATGCTTCACAAGACGGGTTTTTTCCCCATTGGAACGCATTAAATAGATTTCAATGCATTCCAATGGAAACCACGTTTCGCAAGATGGGTTCTTTTAGACCGATGCTTCGCAAGACGTCCCCCCCCCATTGGAACGCATTAAATAGATTTCAATGCATTCCAATGGGAAACCGCGTTTTGCAGACAATGTTTTCTATGGACGATTCCCCCCCATTGGAATGCTTTTGCAAGACAATGTTTTCTATGGACGATTCACCCCCATTGGAATGCATTAAATAGATTCCAGTGCATTCCAATGGGGAACCGTGTTTCGCAAGATGATGTTTTTGCAAGACAGTGATTTTCGCGGAACGAATTAACATTGTCTTGCAAGGCACCACTGTACTTTAAACACCTTATTTCCAAGTTCTTTCCATTGTCAAAAGTCATTTTCCAGGTGCCCCTGTCAGATAGTCACAAGAGATCCTTTTCCGTGTCCCATACTGAATGCTCCCCTCAAAGAGCATTCCTATAAGCATATATTAAAGTAATTTTAGGAGCAATTCAACCACTTTTTATTTCGCTTACACTTCCCTAGCATTTATGGAACTATTTTTAATGCTTCAAGATCTTTCCACTTCCTTCTGCTGTTTCTCTTTTACTTTGAGTTTCTGTGCTAGACTGAACTGCACCAGCTTTCTTGTATGTCATTTATCACAGTATTTAATATTTGTTATTTACAGTGGTACCTCACTAGACAATGATAATCCGTTCCACTGAAATCACTGTTTAGCGAAATCATTGTCTAGCAAAAAGCATTTCCCCACTGGTATGGATTGAAACCTGTTGAATGTGTTCCAATGGGGAAGAATCATGTAGTCTAGCGAAGATCAGCCATAGGAAAGCCGCTTTGCAAACCGCTGATCAGCTGTTTAAATCGCTGTCTTGCGAAGCTTAGGTCCTGAAAACACCTGTTTTGCGAGCACGGAGAAAGCTGTCAAAACCGTTGTCTAGCAAAAATCGGTTTGCGAAGCAGGGACCAAACATTGTCCAACGAAATTCCCCCATAAGAATCACTGTTTTGTGAATCGCTATAGCGATCGCAAAAAGTCAATGTCTAGGGAAAAAACTGTCATGCGGGGTAACTGTCTAGCGAGGCACCACTGTACTTGTATGCTGTCAGAAACCTCCAGTTATGAAGTTGTCCCTAAGCGTAATAAACAAACAAATTAATCAGTGCAAGGCAGGTTCTTATGCTGCGGCAGTTTCTAATTCAGCACTTATGTGCTCCAAATGAAGACAACATCCCTCTGATCCACTTTAGCCCAAATACCTACCTGATTGCTCCGGTTTTCCTGCAAAGGTGAAGTAGCATCATCAGGGAAAGTGCCAACATTTCTTCTTTTAAGCAGCTGATCATCTTTTTTGGCTTTCCTCAATTCCACATTTACTTCCATTCTCCGCCGCCTCATCTCCTGGTGAAAACACAGAATTTAAAAATGAACATTTATAATTACAAACAGAAACTAAAGCTACAGTCAGGTATGTAATTACTCACATTGGAGTCCTTCCCCTTATTCTTGAATCTGTTGAGACGGACAGCTGCTCCACCAGCATTCTCATTGGTAGACATTTTGATCCTGATGTAGACTAGTGTAATCTGGAAAAATGTTTAATTGTTTAAAGTTAAAAACTGGAACTGTAACAGTAACAAAATGACATTGTTTGTGCATCTAAAACATTCTTCATTTAACCAAATTCTGCTCCCTCATGAAAACGTATATAACACAAACCACATATGTAAATAATTTTGCCTTCTAAAACGCCTCACTAATGTTGTGATATTTTAATATGGTTGTGTTTCTGATTTTTTTAATGTTATTTTTATTTTAGTCCTCTGTTGGTCATGGAAACTCACAGGGGGAGGACACTGGTAAATCATTCCTTAAACATTGTATATACCTTGAAAACCCTATTTAGGGTCACTGTGTTACTTGACAATACAACACATAGTGGTCAATCTTGTTGGGCTTTAATATGGTTTTGCTGCTTTTAAAAATATGTATGGTTTTTTGTTGTTTATTTGTTATTTTTAGTGCTTCTACACTGCCTTGGTAATTCTTGCAGAAAGCCAGTATAAAGATTCCACAATTAAATAAGAAGACAAGCATTTAATGGAGCATTTGGAGCTCCATTAAAAAAGAGATGCATCTCTAACACTTTTTCTTCATGGTTAAGTTACAAGGATGTCAGTTGTACTCAATTCCAGGCAGGGATGGGGACTTGAGTAAGAGGACCTGCAATCAAGTCAAAATGACTAGATAGGCAGGGTATAAATACAATAAATAAATAAAATAAATAAAATTTAAGTCACATGGGTGACTTGGGTTCTTTTTTTCAATAACTCAGATTTGTAACCCACCCAACCTCTCCCTTTTTTTCTGGGGGAAAAAGCTTATTTTTAATAGGGACTTGGATTTAGCACCAAAGGCTTTTTTCTGGGGGAAAAAGCTTATTTTTAATAGGGACTTGGATTTACCACCAAAGGCCCAAAGACTTGCCAACACCCCTAAATACAGATAAATGTCTTTATGGAAATTTAAAAATTCCCATTTTGACAAAAACAGAAAGCGATTTATTTTGCTAGTCCAAAGTTTCAGTTGAGTCCTCTTTAGGACAGTACTGTATTCCCTCCGAGGATGGCTTCACTTAGGCATCCTTTTAGAATTTTTTTAAAAAATTATGATTCAAAACATTTTTCAACTTGAACCTAATCAAAGAAAATTCATACCGTCTTATTAAGACAAGGTTTTAAGTCATCTCTCTTTGAACAAAGAACGGGACAACGAGGAGAGGGGGTGGGCGCCAACAAATGACCAGCAACTCTTCCCCTGGAACTTTAACGGCACGAAATAACGTTGTTTCCGTTAGGAACTTCGCCCTCCCTTCCCAGTTAAAGGAAAACAGCCTTTAAAAGCAGGAGAAGGAGAACCGCGCGGCGGCGGCGGCGAGGGGTCTCTTTTCTGCACCCCCATGGATGGGATGGAGGGATGGGATGGGATGGAGGGATGGGATGGCATGGCCCAGGCGTTCCTTCACTGGGGCTGCAAACCTCTCGGATGCGCCAACGGGGTTGCCGTTACTTATGCCAAAACTGCCGAGGATAACGACGGCAAGACCCGCATTTTGAACTTTCCTATTTTGCATTCCACGTTGTTTTCCCCTACAATTTTTTTAAACACCTACACAGGGAGTTTCCTGAGCATTCCCTCCACCCCTAAAGGACGGACACACACACGCCACGAGGAAAGTGAGTCTGAAAACGTCTACTTTCCCCCCCCACACACACACACAAACCCTCGCCATTTAACTTAATTTTATAACAGAAAAGGGAGAAGAACCAAAGAGATAAAAAAGAGGGCAAAATAAATGCCCGCTCCTCTTGAGAAGCCCTTTTAAGTCTTCCCCCCCCCCTTCATCGGCTCTTTTGCCAACCTGAGGCTCCCCCCGTCTCCTCCAAGCCGCCCCCCCCCCGGCAGCGGTACCTGCAAGAGCGAAGCCCGCTTCTTTCCGACTCTCCCCGCAGGACAGACCGGGCGACTCTCCCAAGGCAGCGCCCGAACACGTTGCGCCTCCCAGGCTGTGGTGAAAATTACTCCCACTCTCTTCCCCTCGCCTCTCCCAGTGTGATTTAAACTTCCAGCGTCTTCGCTCTCTCATTGGCCAATTCGAGCAAAAGCAAAGCTCTTATTGGTCAGTTTGAAAAGAAAAAGAAGAAGATAAAAGCCGTCTTGCCCGGCGTTCTTAAGGGAGGGGGAGTGGACGACGAGCCTACGATCTCGCGGGTGTTGTACGAAACGCCAAACGAGGCGGGCTTGTCCCAGCGTGCAACGCGGCCGCTGAGGCGGCAAAGCCTCGCGCCGAGGTCACGTGTCTTGGTGCTCAGTGGTTTGGTTGGAATCTTGGTGTTTTTTGTTTTAAATAAAAAGTAAAGGATACGTGTGTACAATATTAGATTGCCAAAGGCGAACTCCTGAGTTGTTATGGAAAATAAATGGGAGGGTGAATGACTTGACACACAGCCGAAGCTGGCACGGCAGCCTGATAGCATTGCTGCTAGTCTTCGTGTTTTCAGATTTCGAGGAACTTGTGGATGAAAAGATGACAGGTTAGGAAATTCTTACTAGAAACATCGATTTGTCTTACGGAATCATGATGGTTTCGCTCTGAAATTAAAAGATACAACAGAGTGATCTCTGCTATTTTTTAGCTGGTAAGAGGGGTAGGCAATAATAAAGAACGTTTTAAGCAAATGCCCACATTTTTAAAAAACATTAACTATTTAATGTTTATTCGTTCCTCAACGAGCAGAAATTATTCTTTAATTTTTTTAAAAACATTTTGGAAAATAAGTGTTGAACTCAATACCATATCACACTTGAGATAAGAACTGGTTTGCTTGTTTTTAAGATGCAGAGCGCTGTATTTGCTGTAAGCATTAACAAACGGATCATTTTGATTTTGAAACTGACTACAACTTGGTCTCCAAATAAGTCTCACTTTGCAAACCTAGCACCTTTCTATCATCAATGTGTCAGTCCCATATATATTTGAATTACAGTGTAGAAACACCACTGGAATACTTTTCCAACAATAAAAGTGATTTTATACTTTTCACTGCAAAATAATGCAATTATAAGTTATTTCAATTTAAAATGCATATACACAGAAAAAAGAGAGGTCCAAATATGTTTTTAGTGCTTTATCTGGAAATGTGTTTTATTTTCCAAACATGTGGCATATCAAATGCTTATGAATGACTTAAATAAATTACTAGTTATTCTGAGAAATATCCATATATCTAAGAATTTTTTTCTGTCATCAGTATAATTGGTTTGAAGAGAGCAACTCTAGTATTTACATTTAGAATGCTATTAAATGAAAACTAAGAATGTGAAACTTGAGTTTGGCACAGTATATACTTACATATAGAGGGAGACTCATTCAGATATCAATAAATTTATGAGAATTAAACTAGCAACAAAACTGAAATTCCAAATTTTGCTAATTCCTTCACAATGGCCTAACTTCCAGATTTAAGATCAGTTAAAATAAACCAATTTTCTCCATAACAGCATAGTAAGCTGCAGTAGCAAAAGCCCATCAATGGGGATTTAGAGAGTTGACTCTTCAGTAACCTCCATTCAAGTGGACCTACTCTAATGCCAATTTATGATTCAATTGGCCTATCTAGTGCAGTTTACTATGCTAAACAACAGGGGTTTGGCCAGATTAGAGACTGTAACACTTCAAAAGTCTTCCTCAGATCCTACCCACATATAGTAGAGGATGTTGAGATCTTAAGGGTATGGAGAAGTTGAGTAATTATCTCAGCTGGCATTATTCTCCATATAGAACAGTTATTTGTGTGGAACTCAGACTTTCCACTTGAAGAATGAGAAATCTTCTGGGTGTCCTTGGATAAATGTTCTACCGGCCACTGGACAGAAAAGTGAGTTATACAGCTCTCCTAGTGAGATCATTTGCTCTTATTCTAAGAGATTTTATAACTGAATGGTTTGTACTTTTGTTGCTCTTACATCCTGTAGTAATGCTTTTACCTATCATTTTAATTATGTTTAATTATTTTTAAATATTGAATAATTTACTGGTTTTAGCTCTTAATATTGTGTTTTTAATAATGTAAAATGCCTTGGTTACTTTTTAAGGAGAAAGGTGAGGCAAAAATATTTAAAATAATTAAATCACATACTGTATTTATTCTCCCACTTCTGAAAAGAAAATTAAATTGAACAATTTAATCAAGGAACTTATACTTCAGGTGCAGTAAAATCCATAAATGCGGTTTACGCTGCCAAAAATCATTTGGAAGAAATTTCAGTCACATTTAAAAATATCTAAGAATATAACTAATAATCTTAAGCAATTATACTGACACACATCAAATGTATAAAAGTGTTCTAAGATGCAATTTCTCTTACCCAGTTATGCCAAGCCAACAGCTTCTACCATGTGTTGGTGTTAATTTTTTATTTTGCTGCTCTTTGTTTCATTGTACTTCCATGTATACTTAACTTGCTTTCGTTATTTGCATGAACTCGGTCAATAAGACTCTTACTAGCCTAAGTAATTTTTTCTGTTTGCTTTCATTAATAAATATTCAGCTCGGAAGCATTAATTTTAATAAACATACGACAGCACCAACCAATCAGCCCATCAGGTAGCAATTAAGGAAAATTTCATTTTCTCTTTTATTTTTCAGTCTCTTATAACAGTGTCTACCTTACCCTTGCCTGTGGGCACTGTTTCAAACATAGCATTGTGTAATGGGCTTTATTCACCAGTTACCACTGAGATTTGTATCATTGCTTGTAAGTAACTAGTGTGTGTAAATTTTGTGCTTACTAGTAAAATATCAGTTAAGTATTGATCATTGTTTTTGAAGCCTACTGTATGCAAGCCTGAGGCTTACCAAGGCATATTCACAGAAATATACTCCCTATTGTTACATTGTCTCTAAAGGCAAATGTTATGATTGATTGCTATTCGTAAAAAGAGCAGTAAATAATTTGGGGGCATCTGAGGAAGCAGCCAGCATTGCTGAAACTAAGCTACAGGGAAACCTGGCAAATAGGTTATCTGAAAGATTGTGCAATGTCCATATCAAATGAGATTAGTAAAAAAAATTTTTTTTGTTTTCTTTAGCATACAAACTTGGATTAAAAATTATATCCTGGTAGAAATCTGTCAGAATGTACTATACTTTTGTGTTGGTTCTAATGGATGTGGCATGGTATCCTCCTGATAACGACTAGTGTGATCCTCACTGAAAAATGTACCGGCTATAGGGAGTCTGGAATAGGCAGAAGCTGCCTCATCTCATGGATCTTCTGGCAGAACTGCTACGGTGACTAAAAGATATGAGTGATGGGCAGAACAGCCAAAAAAGGGGGTAGGACAATATGTATGAGAAAGAAAGTACAATACACCAGCTCCACACCTCCTATGTCGTAAGGACACAGCTATTCTGCTGCACGAAGATAGGCCAGAGTGAAGAGTTTCCTAAGTAATTTTTAGCATCCTTGTACTGGGATGGGTTTCAATTCAGCATGGCTTCAGCTGGCCCCACATCCACTGAGTTAGCCAACAGCCATCTTGCCTTGCTAGGACTACGGTATACAAACTACAATCCTATGAACTCAAAAGAAGCTGTACTGCAAGAATAATCGAGATATTGTACTAAATACTAATGGTGCAATCACAAATACCAAAAATGAAACCTGAAAATATTTACCTACAATTGTAATTATATATACAATATATGAATGCTTTTAATACGGGACAGAAAAATAGGTGATTAATTTTAAAATCCAACATATAGGTAACAAAGGTAGCTTTTAGAACACAAATACTGTAGTGCTGAGACTGATGCAAATTTCCTTTCAGACTCCTGCATTCAATGGGGCTTTTTCCTCAAACTGCTATTTTATTCATCTTTGAACAAAGAAATACCTTATTGCCTAGAATGAACCTTATGGGAGTCTGATGTCTGCATCAATAGTTTTTTAAAGGTTGTGGTTATACTATATAACGGGCATTTCAACCCACTGAACACAGCAGGGTGGGTGGGTGAGGTGTTCTTGCAGGTTTTTTGATCCCCACCTGAGCCTATTAGTGCCTAGCCTATTTATGTATCCTGTAGGACTCGAAAGCTAGCCTGTCGGTAAAATTTTAGGGTTCTTACAAAGGCATCAGGCACTCTTGATGTTGGGTTTTGCAAAAGGACCACACTTCTTTTTGTTCAGATGGACAAGGTTTGCCTTTTGGACATGGCTATGATCTCTCTTGGAAGGGCAGCAGTGAAGGAATTAGAGAATACATCAATGGTTCTTAACCTTTGTTACTCGGATGCTTTTGAACTGCAACTCCCAGAAACCTCAGTCAGCACAGCTGGTGGTGAAGGCTTCTGGGAGTTGCAGTCCAAAACTCCTGAGTAACCCAAGGTTAAGAACCAGTGACCTACATTCCTTGGATTTCACAGATGTGAAAGCTGTGCAATTAAGAAAGCTGACCAGGCAAAATTGATTAGTTTGAAATACGTTGTGGAGGAGAGCTTTGCAAATACCCTGGGTATCTGCAAAGATACAAGTCAGTGCTAGAGCAAATCAAGCCTGGAGACAAAAATGAGGAACACAGAACCTGTCCTGCTTTGGGCAGATCATAAGAAGGCAAGATTCTCTGGGAAAAAATGCTGGGAAAGCTTGAAAGCAGCAGGAAAAGAGGAAACCAAATACGAGATGCACTGATTCCTTAAAGTAGGAGGTCTCCAAGCTTTTGACAGTGAGGGCTACACCGGGTATTTCCAACATTTTTTAGGGTGGAAGGAACAGGAACATGCGTACGTGTGGCTGCACACATGCCCCCCACCTGTAGACACCCATACACATGCACTGGCCTGTGCATGCGCACCACCCACTTCTGCACATGTGCATGGGTTGAAGGGAACAGGTCAGATAAAATGGCAAGGTGGGCTAGATGTGGCCTGTGGGCCGTAGTTTGAAAACCCCTGCCTTAAAGCAGAGGTCGTCAATCTCCAGTCTGCAACCTGGTGCCAGTCCATGGCCTGAGCCGGACCGGGCTGCGGAGACAGACCTCTGCCCCTCTGCACTCCCCTCCGCACAGCTGCTTTGCACACACGCATGCATGCCAGCGTCGGTGTGAGCACTCCCCCACCCCTTCACACATGCACCCAAGCACCTGCGCAAAGGGGTGGGCACGCGTGGGCATGCAGGTGCTCCTGCACA